TGTGGTAGCGATTTAAGATCTCCCTTCGAAAGGGGTAGAGCCTCCTCTGTCCCCATTGTATAAGCCCGATCGATTACCGATTCTCGTCCCCTATGACAGCAACACCACTGTAAGTCAGTTCCTTGCATCCAATATGCTTTCTGGTTCCGTTGATCCTTTGGAACACAATGTTTCCCTTATGTATTGGTTTAGTAAGTATTTCGTTTGTTGCGGTTCGAAAGGGTTCGTCCGGGAGGTGGAGCCGATTGTACATGTTCTTATGTCAGGGGCAGAGATAGACTTAGCCTCGTACTTCCTGGGTTTGCTATATCATGGTATAAACGAATTTCTAGGGAAGCTTTCTGTGTCCTCCTCCAGCGAACCAGTGGCAGCGGGTCCTCTATGGTTTCTTGAGTTATGGGCGCAGCTATATTTTCCGAATCTAATTAGCCCGCGCCCCGAACTCCCCATCAGTCCGCTCACAGTTTTGGGTCCTCATCTGGCGTCGTATCCTTCTGTTCAAAGCGATCTCCATTCGATCACCTATTCCCTCATACACGAGACTAATCGATCCTTGGCCGAATTATGCCCTTTGTCCGGTTTCTTTGCACCTCTTGATGCTTCTGTCTCCATAACTACCGACCCCCCTGATTCCATGTGCTGGAACAAGTGCCTGACCGCTCGAATTTTGCTCTGGGGGTTGTCCGTGGGCTCCCGATACAATCCATTGCTTGGAGAGGTTTATCAACCTCGGTACTGTGCGCGCCAATTTGGCCTAGTTCAAGGGATCCTCTTGTTTGGTTTTCTCCTACCGCCCCCCATAGGTTCGGGTCAAAATTTAGGGTCGGCTCTTGTCGACGATTGGCGTTCTAATATCCGTGACATTGAAGAATTGTTGCACTCGCCTTATGCTGCTGCTCCGAGTGCGTTGCCTTCTTTCAACGACTGGTGGGCTAAGTTTTTGGTTTACTCGAACGTGGCGGCACTTCGATTATCTCTAGTTAAACCGGTTGATGGATGTTCGAGTGGCGAGGGATCGTCTTCCGCTATCTCCGATGAGGTAGAGGAAGTGTTTGTGTCCTCGGCCATAGGTATTCTATTCAATTTCTATTGCGGAATGCATAATCCGGAGACATGAATGACCGATCCCTTTTTTTTTCTATCACACGCACACCTCCGATGATAAGCGTCCGATCCGCACCACTATCTGTCATTCGATGTTCTCGAAGGCTAATCTCAAAACCGGCCGTGCCTAACTCGCAGCCGAAGCGTCCTGCCAAACGGCCAGCTCCGTCGCCACCTTCCTCTCAGGTATTTTGAAAACAAGTTTTCCTTACGAAAAGAGGTTCTTATCATCGCTAAAATTTTACAGGTTCCTCCCAAGAGGGCCACACCCGTATCTTCTATCGCCCCGACGGCAGAATCACCTTCCTGGGCGTCTCCTGCTCTGGTATGCTTCATCTCTCCTTTTTTTTTTTTTTGTTTTGTGCTTATGTATGGGAAGCGTCCTGATAGGTTTCGCTTGGTAGGTTTTCCACGTGGGAATAGGCTCTAAAGCCGCCGTCAAGTCGGCGGAGCGATCTGTCTCCTCTCCATCGTCCTTCCAGGTAAGCACTTAAAGGTAGACACAGGTTTGCTTCTGTGAACTGTTCTAATCTGGTGTAAGCATGTAGGTTTCGCACGGACCTACGACTCCGGAAGAGGCGGTTCACTCGGCCCGGATTCACTCCCCTGTCTCGATCAGGCCCGAGAATGTCTAGACGTCCACCTCTCCAATCGCTCATTCGGTCCCAAAGGTAGTCCCTGCCGACGTGGAGGCATATTTCGCCTAAGGCCTTGTTAGTGATGCCTCTGTCCCTTCCAGCCTATCAGTCCGCCTTGCCAGAGAATTCAAATGTCTTGGACAACCTGCAGGCGTCTTTTCTGACCGTGGCTGCCTCCTTTTCGTTTGGCCTACCTTGTCGTAAACAGTTAGAGGATCTTGCGGACCACTTGGGTGAAACTTCTGGGCGCCTAAAGATGTTGCAGGGTGTCCGCAATACGAATGACAGCAAACTCAAAGAATTGGCGGTCTTGGAAGCAGAAAAGGCGGCCTTGGAAGCAGAAGAGCCGGTCTGCGCTCAAAACTTTCTATATGAGAAGCAGCGCGCCGAAGATGAGACAACGTATATAGAGGGCCTTTGCGCCGAAGAAGAAGCTCTACGGGCCGAATTGAGCAGAATTGAGGAGCGACTGAGAGAGATCCCACCGGAGTTGGCAAGGGTGGCTACGAGTCTTGATTCCAGGACTGCTCGGAGAATGGAGATGTACGATCGAACGAGGGCTCTGGATGAGCCTTTGTTTGACTCCGCTGACGTAAGTTGGTCAAGTCCGAGACGGTCACTTCTGGAAACGGACTGAAAAATTGCTCGTGAAAGGCTCTTTCCATATCCGCCCAAGTGCGGATAGAATTCGGGGGTAATGAGGTATACCAGGAAAATGCAGGGCCTGTAAGGGACAGAGAAAAATTGAAAAGTTTGTACCGGTCGTTATTCCCGTACTCTGCTCCGCATTGAGTCGTAAATCGGCTAATGTGCTCGATCGTGGAGCGGAAATCCTCCTCTAAAGACAATGCAAACTCGGGGATTCAAGCGTTGCGAGGTAACGGGTGATCCAAAGAGATATATCCTGGAAAAAGCCGTTGGTAATGAGGCCTGGGCAGTAACCGGATAGGACCACCGTAAATCCTCCGTATTACATCCTCGATCGTCTGAGGGTTCAGGAGCGGCGGCGGCATTACTTCTGCCTGCCCCCCAAGCTACTCTGGAGGTGCTTGGATGGGTGGCGGATTCCAGATCGTCGGCTGCGGAGGAGCCTGGAAGATCGGTTCCCGTGGCGGGAGGCGAAATCTAGGGGCTTCCACGGCTTCTCTTACCGCCGGAGTCTGCTGTGCCGGGAGATTACCGGGGGCTGCCTGGGCAGCGAATTCGAAATTTCGCTGCGTCCCGGAACCAGCGACAAACGGACTTTCTACGGTGCGAACCTGCCTCCCAGCGCAATGGGATGCGGCCGGGGCAATCTCCCCTAACCCTCAGGCTGTCCTCGAAAAGGCTGGAGCAAACGAAGGCGCTGGGATCGCTGGCAGCCCTGCCCCCCCCCCCCCCCCGAGGTTACCGGTTCCCTGTCTAGCCGCTGGATATCCCTGGAGTGTCGGAGCGGGAGGCGAAGCGTTCAACAAAAATCCAGTCGACGAAGAACACGGGTGCCTAGACGGGGCAGATGGTACCGACCCGAAAGTCATGCCAAACCCTCCTGCTTGGGACGGCCCGGCAAAGGTCTGCCGTCGTTGCGCTGAATTCTCCGAGATTCCGGACGGTGGCTGGAGGCTCTCTAGATCCGTTCTTGCCAAGGATCGTGACGTGACCATAGCTGAGCGCCTGAGAAGCTGCCCCAGAGTTAGCCGAGTATGATGGGATTCAGCCAGATTTCGGGCAGATTGAGGCCAATCACGGGAGCCTTGCCTTTTCGAGTTTCCTTCTTCCTGAGCAGTGCGAATTCCATTCGTATGGCTGGCTTGAGTACGTCAGTAATATATTTGAACAGTTCCAGAGCGGATTCGTGGAGAGAAGATTGAATTTCTTTGCGAATTTGTTCACGGAGAACATTGGTCGGGAGGCTGATGATGGGATCGGACCTCCCAGCTGCTACAGAGGCTTCATCTCGTGGAGCAGCCTCTTGCGCTGGATGCGATGACGAATCGCCGACGGTTTCTTTTTTTTTCTGACATCTCTATGGTCGTCGGCGGCGTCAGTTTTCTCTTTCGAAGTTGCATGCAAAAGTTGCGAGACGTTGGTGTCCCACCAGGCGTGCCAATCTGTTGTCATAAAAAAATCATCACCAACGGCTTAATCGAAAAAGCCTGTCGGAATTGATTTAATCGTAAGGTTCCCCAGCCTCCTTAAGAAATGATCCAGGCTATCTCGCGATAACCGAAAAAAATTGACGAAGAAAGAAGGTAAGAGAAGGATGAACATTGGAAATTGAATTAGAATTAGCAGGAGAAAACTGTAACAATCTCAAAAAGAATGCAGGAATTAAAAAGAGGAAAAATTAATGCAGAAGACGATGATTGATGATCCCTAGCGTCCTTTAGCTCCTTCCGCTTTTATTTCCCTAATCTTGTTTGGATAAGATTCTTATCCCTTATTTTTCTCCAACCTCTCTAACCTCATCTTATTTTCAAAATATGCCTTATCCGTTTACTTATTGACCGCGGGCTTGTCTATTGATCTGGGCTTTTCTCTAGGCTGGGCCCTCTCGGGACTTTGGGCTGCGCCATCTTGGGCCGGCCCGGTTAATTTTTTGGAGTGTACAGAATGCCTCTTGATCTTTGTGCCTTTTCATCTTGTCTAATCTTTGTGCAAATATTCTTGCATAGTCGATGTGTAATCTTTACCTTCACACAACACTTTTCAAATTGATGAGAAAATGAGAATCGTACGCATAGCTGTGATTTTCCCCCCTTTTTCTCCTTTTCTCCTCTTGCTCTTAAAAAGAGCCTCCAAGCTCTATAGAACACGCCATTGTTTTTCATAAAATAATACTCTCTTCGTCCAGGATAATTAAGCCATATTTCGTCTTTTTAGTTGTCCAAACTTATGTATAATTCCTTTAAACTTTATACATCCACAATTTCATTAGCCCTACTTAACAAATAATAACCAATTTATCACTACTTTTACTACTTATCCCACACTTCTCTTTATTAATTTATTAATAAATTTCCTGTAATACCCCACTTTACTTTTTACGTACCCCACTTTTACATTAAAATACTATTATTTCCTAATATTTATGTCCAAGCAATGTGGCATAAAAAGCCCAGACAGGGAGTACATCTATCTCCCCAATGAGGCTTCTCAGCGGGGCTTTTTCTCAAAGGAAGGTTTCTCTAAATATTTCATATTTCACATTTCATGAGTAATTTATAATTTACTCTATAAATAAGTTGTAACATAAATACCAACATAAGAAAAACTTACAGCAAAAAATACGAGGCTGAATGACTTCCAAATAACTTCGAGCGGATTTGAAAGCCGTTTAGACACCTGTGAGAGCATTGATAATTAAAATCCAATGTTTACACCCAATAAAAGATGATAACAGGTAAAAATACAAATGTGGATAGAAAAATGAAAATTAAAGGGAAAAGCTCATTGATAACAAAACGTTAGCATAACGCTTTTGAAAATGATGACCTTTTCCTTTACAAGTTCCTCAGCTTCAGCAAATTAAAGGGAAAAGCTCATTGATAACAAAACGTTAGCATAACGCTTTTGAAAATGATGACCTTTTCCTTTACAAGTTCCTCAGCTTCAGCAAATTCATCAGATTCACGGTTGGTCATAGAGCCGCCTTTAGCAGCTGTTGATGGAAGGTCCCATGCATCTTTTATTGATTTAAGACCAAAGAACATGAGAAGGGTAACAGCTGCATATTCTCCAATAGGCAAAGCTGCCACAGAATTTACAAATAAAGAGGATAGAGAACTAGTTTAGCTAAAAAGAGAGTTTTGTAGTGTAGAATTTAAGACTGTTCAAAATAAATAAATAAATAAATCAAGCATATGAAAATCGTTAAATGAATTGTCGATTACTTGTTTGAAATTGAGAAGGGACAGAATGAAATATTAGACCAATTACAACAGAAAGGACTGTCATGAGAGATAGGGCAGCCATTGATCCCAAAAGTACCTGTCCATGAGAAGCAAAAGTAAGAGCATTTCCCATTTGTTGACATCAAAATAACTTCTGATATTGGCGTAAAACCAGTGACATAAAGAAAAGGGGCATCATGGAAATAAGAGTGAATCTTGTGACATATAACATAACCAAACTGATCCGATAAGTTGCAAACTACTAAAAAATAAAAATTACGAAGGTTGAGAAAGACAAGGATAAGTTACTGCAACCTTAACAAGTGATACTTCATGTATAACTTGTCAGTTGAATGTACAAAATTTAAGATTATCTTATCATACTTGATTTATCTTCAGCCATCATTGTTGAATGATTTCTTAATGCAAAAGTTTAAATTTGTTGAGGGGTGTGTGTGTGTGTACTGTTTTCAATTTATTTACAGATCAATTCTTTCCATTTGCCACCATCCTGTGATGAACCTCATAACTTTGCGTGAAACAGTTTTTCACAAATGAGCAACAGTCGATATTTGAACACGAGATACCTCCTTCAATACCAAGTTGAATTAAACCTAAAATGTTTAGTGGGTATGAGATCATTATATATTTTTAATATATTAATTCCTCTATTTGTTCACTTTTGCCCAATTTTTATTGATGCAATCCAGCTCATTTATAAGTGCTAATGCACTTTTTAACAATTTGGTATTATAATTCACTAACCATTAAAATAAAAAAGATAGGATCGACATCATAATCCAGCTCACATCATCACTGGTAGACTTTGATAAATGCGATACACTAGAAATTAAAATGTGAGCTGCTAATATTTCTGGTTCACTTATTTTTTAGAGGTGAGTAACAGTTGACTGAGAAAATCAAATTCTCTTGACAGTGATCATGAGTAGGTGATTATTCACATTCGATTCTTTTCATAGTTCACATCCCTACATCAAGTTTACATCATATCGTGCATCTTAAATTCTTACTGAACTAGTTGATCAGAGTTTTCAAGAAACTTATCCAAAGATGGATCCAAGGATCTTCATTTGATATTTGAATTTGGTTGATACAGCAACTATCAAGCATATTTCTAAGTCATTCTTGTCACTTCTTTATATTAGTCAAATTTCCCACTCATTAGCAAATCATCATCTCTTCAATTCACAGCATATGCATTCATTCTTATTACTGATCATAGTAGAGTGCAAAAAGATCATTCTCCAGATCAAACTACGCATGGCCCTTCATTGATATATAAATTATCTACCAAAGTGGCAGAAGCAAAAACTTGAAGATTAACCAAGAGAAGAATAAACTTATAATCCATGCAACAAAACACACACATCAAGCCAGTGGAGAGAGATCATACCAGCAGTTTATCGTATTGCATTGCCAAGAGCGCAGCAATGAAGAAAGTCTGTTAAATTAACAGAATACTTTAGCTAATTTTAAAGTTGGGAAAAACTTAAATCACAAGCTAGAAACTAAAATGCATGAATATAATATCACACTTGCATACTTTATTTAGAAGAGCATAAGCATTCGTGTGCATATTCTGAAAGGCTCTTGGATAGTGATGATCCAGTGAATCAACTTCGAGAAACATGATTAGTTTGAGACACAGCATTCAGGTTACAATGCAGTTAAGGTTCTTTACAGATGAGAAAATGTGAGTAACTTTTCTGTCTTGTTATAGACCCATGTAGACAGGGTCCTAGACTCAAAACAGCTGCAAGATTTCATTGGTTTGCACAATGATAACTAGTTAATAAGAAGAATATACTATGATTTCCTTGCCATTTATATTTTCCAGATAGCTCCATAATGGCTTGGTTAAACAGAATAAATTGATAATCAAAGAAATCTTTATGGAAAGTTTCAGATTGTGACTGCAAGGATTGTGTAACTTAAATCCAGTTCCAAAGCAACTAAGAATATGGTTCGAAGAAGATAATTGTTGGACTCTTAAATTAAAGATCAAAAAAATATCCATCAACTTGGGTGCAAGTATGCAAATGCTAATAAACATTTTACAAGCCATTTTCCAAGATATCTTACCTTGTCTCCGATTTCAGAAACAAATATCAAAGAGAATGCAGCAGTGAACCCCGATTTTGCAAGTGCAGGCAAGAGTGATGAAGGCCCTTTGATGATGATTACCAATAAACATGTCAAAGCACATGCACCCAGCACAAGAACTATAGAGAAAGGATAAGGAATTCGATTAGGAGATCGCTCAGAGTCACTGCCATGAGAAGTGAAATAATGAGTCAGGGAGAGCCCAGCACACATAATCTTGCCATCTTTGAAAAACTGAGACATGTGCGAGAAAATATAAGGTGCTACTGCACATTCCAAAAATAAGAAGAAAGGTATACCTATCAGAATCTCAGATGGTTAAATTTCAGTTCAAATTTTTTTATATTACCTTAAAACAATGCCAAATAAAATTTAAACCGATATCTTAGGTTTGGACTCTTGTAGTTAATAACTTGTTTCTTTTCTTTTCTTTTTCCTCGGGGGATGAAGAGGGGTTTGGGGGTCAGTTGGCTGAGGTGGGTATGGTACAGAAAATGCTTCACTCCATAGATGATATATTATAACCTTTCAAGCATGATGGACAAAGATAAGACACTATATGAAAAGATACACTAATCTGAGACTAATTGCACACTACAAAACAGGTAAGAGCAAAGATTAAACTCTACAATATGAATTCCATATGGAGGAGAAAATAGCAAGAAAATGTTGTGATGTGTAACTAAAATAATAGGTAAAAAGAAGATTCTGATGTGTTACTAAAATAATAGGAGAAAAGTATATTATGAAACTATTCCCTGCAATCAAATGGTAGTCTAATCAATTTGATAAGAATACTGTCTTTAAAAAGTTGAAGATGGCACTGTGTCTATGCATTTGCAATTTTACACACATTTCCTACCATAGTCACGTAGACTTTAAACTGCTTTTTTTAAAGTCTTTTCCTAGATTTGGTACTGATAATTGATGAATCACCACAGAAAATCCATATCAATTTGTATCCTTATGCCAAGTACCACACAAAGGATGCATCCAACTGTTAAAGCTCAATGCTTTATAAAGCATGTATTTCAAAAAACTATACATACATTGTATTAAGCATATCTTTCAATGTAACCTTTTTAAAGAAGCATCACTGTGCTGTTCATTGAGAGAGAAACTCTGACTCTCATTTTCATGTCTTTCATCATACCCACCAGATCCTGTGCCAATGTTAGACGCATTTGCTTTGATTTTTCTTCTGTGCATACTCAACATGGATGTTTTCTTGCATCCTGATGAGTACAACCAAATTGTCATCACCTTTGCCCTAAAAAGATCAATTATAACAAAATGTGGTATAGCTAAAACAAAAGGTATCGTCATTTATATTTCAGCTTGCCAGGCTAGGAATAGAAACAAAGGAAACCGGGAAGGTATATTTCCATTCATAGGTAACATGAGTGTCACCAAGCAAATGAAATAAAACATTCACATTGGTACTTTCACATTGAAACCGAAAGTACTTTCTTTTGGAAAACTGGGTAGAAAGTGTTGTTACAAGACAAGGAAGAACCAAACCTATCATCTTCTTCCCATTTAAAAATATCAAACCCAAGAAACTTTCCTATAAGCTTTCTCTTCCCTCCAATCCCTCCATCCAAAGAGCTATATATGAACCCAATAAACAAAAATAAAAAGCCAAATGCCTAGTGTTAGACATAGGGCAAATTTCACTTCCAACTGCTGAAAAACCATTACACCTGCCTCTCGAGTGAGTGTATTAATAGGCGAATACAAACATGTATTTTGAAGTACAAAGATGTGAGATGATCTTTAATCAAATTCAACCCGCTCAATATTGGTCATATTGTGTAGAAAACACTCCATGAGAAGGGAACATCACAAAACATTATCAATACATGTCCACATCACTTCCTTCTTTTCTCATTTGAATGCAGTCCAAAGAAGAATACCCCAACCCATTGATTGATTGTCAGCTCGTCAGAGAAGCCTAAATTGCAGTTAAAGCAAATAAAACAATATGCATTGCAGTCTTCTCATCATCAAGATTCAAATGCTTCCTACAAAAATATGCCAAGCTAAATGCAAAATAACAGAACAAATATCGTGCAGTAACATATCGAATAAACTCCGAAAGAATCGCAAGATGGAAATTAAACCCTAAATCTTTTCAAAACAAGAAAAATGCAATTATTTCATCCAGCATCGCAATAAGCTTCCAAAGAAGAGTCAACAAACAGCATAATTAAAGAACTCACGCGAAGACGAAAATGGTGCAAAAACTCTTCTGGGCGAGAGAGGAGAGAAGGGCAGAGAAGAAATCAAAGCAGAAACTGGGGAAGTGTTAGTCATGGCGCCCTTTTCCGACGTCCCTAAAACCTGAGGCCTCTGAAAAGCCAGGACTTGCATTCTGAAGCCGCAGATAATCTCGGGGTGGGTGGGTTTGGTTGAGGTAGAATTGTAGAACACCCAAATCTAGCCTATTTAGTATGCTGTTGAACTTGCCCCTACTTTGGAGTGTGTGGTTTCCCTTTCTACGTATCTTTAGTGAGGATTTCCATGGACGAGAAAGAAGAAGGCGAAGACAGAGAGGAGAGGAAGAAGGCCACCCCACCACCAAGACGAAGTTAGTTTGGGAAGAAAATGGCGATGGAGAAGAAGTGCAGTGCAGCTGATAATAGATTCCTGTTTTCTAGAAAATCTTGCATCCCATCTCAATCGAGGTTGGGAAAGTGGGAAGAAGAGCAGAGCAGAGCAAGCGATATCGATGAAGTGGGGAGAGTGAGAAAGAAGGCGATTAGATGTGATCAGATTCTGTGGCTACTCCCACTCCCAGGCAGGCATGCGTGCTTCGTGCAATTCCTGTCCTATGGATGTTTCTGGTATTCGGGAAACTACTTTGGCGGTTGTGTTACGAGAAATAAAAGCGATTTATGTAAATGAATGAAAATTACATGCAAGTAATTAACCAGCTGAATCAAATAAGTTTTGTGTTCGTTGGTTAGCATTAGGGTTAATTCTGCTCAAATCCTCAATTTTTAAATTATTTTTTTTATAAATTTCTATTCATATAATTTTTTATTTAGCTCCATATTTATTCCACATTATTTCATGTTTGTAATTATTACACATTTTTACTCATTTTACCCTCTAAATAACATTTTATTTATATTTTTATCCACCAAATATAATCCAAAACCCTTAGGTAAATAATATTTAATTATATTATTTGTTTATCTATGGAACAAATCTATTTATTTTATATAAATAATTTTTTGTATATAGAATCTATGTACTTATGACTCAATAATTTTTGGAGGATTTATTACAATATATTAATTTTTATAATAGAAAAATATTTTTTCAAATAAAAATTCATTATTTTCAGCTTATTTATTATGTCACTCATACTTATATATAATTGAAATCAATATTTTTCTTATAAATATTTTATATAATTATAATGTAAGAGTTGTGAGTACTTTTATATTATATATTTTATTATTATTATTATTATTTCTTGGCAATTATTATTTTTGTTGTTGTCATTTTTTTTTATATTTAAATTAATAAAAAATAGAAATAAATTATAAAAATTACAATGTAGTTGAAAAAATAGAAGAAAAATGATAAAAAAAAATTAAATAAGGGTACTATAGGGTTTTTACATTAATAGGGAGTGAAAAAGAATAAATTTGAAAAAATAGGGAGTAAAGAACATAAAATTAATGTATAGGGAGTAAATACCAATATGAATATAGAATTAGGAAGATATGTGGAAGTTGCCCTAAACATTACAACTTTTTGCAACAGAGCTAAGTTTGTTAAACAATTTTATTATCTGAACTTTTGTGATAATATATTATTTATTATATACACACAAGCCTATGTATGTGTTGTGTAAGTGTCTTGTGGATGTTTTTGTATGGATGGAGATATATATATGTGTATTAATTCATTAAGAGATGATACCAATTTCTTATCAATCTTATCACTGCTCTCTTACATCCATTCATTCACTCTCTGCTGGTTTAGTGGACTAGGGTGCGCAACCATTGCACACGCACACCCCGATTATGACATCTGGCAATATATATTAAATATATTTAATAATATTTTAAATTATAGGATATGAGTTAAACCGATCCATCGTCCGGTCCAAATATAAATCTTAATATGTATATATATTTTATATTTTTTATATTAATAAAAATTATACTACCTCTGTCCCATAAAAAGGGTACCGTTTGAGTTTTGCGTTATTGTGATTAACATTAAAAATATTCTAAGAGACTAATTTACTCCACAAATGTTATTGTATTTGTATTATAAGAGATTAATAAGCATTTTTTTGTATTTTTTTCTTAATTTATACTACGTATTAATATAATATTAATATTCAAAATCAATATGCAAAAAGCCATTGCACTCTTCTTAAAGAACGGAGGTAGTATTTAATGTTAACATATATTTCTCAAACACTTTTTCTTGTTTATTCCTCTGCGTAATTTATTTTCGCCCTTTCTTGCTCCAATCTCACCCAATTCGTCATTCAATTTATCGTTCTTGATTTGCTCTTGGGTTTAGTGGATTTGTGTTCATTTCCATCGATAGAAACAACGCAAGAAGTTATCAAAGAAGAAATTAGTTTCTACTGGCTGAAGTTGAACAAGAATCGACTATACTGCCCTATTATTCTTAAGGTTGATAGTTTCCTTTTTCTCTTTTTTGTTCTTGAAATTTTCTTTATGGTTTTCAAGCTAATGCAGAAAATTAAATTCAAAGAATTCTAATCACTTCGCTAATTTTTTTCCAATGCTTAAGGAAGCTTTCAGACATATTAGATCATATATGCTTCTCGACTGGAATTGATTAGAGGTTACTGCATTGTTTGCACTTTTATTTTTATAAATGGATATGAACTTAAATATTACAAGTGAAGTTGATGCTGAGTTGAATTTAGATAATGAGGATGTTGATATTATAAAGAATATAGAAGCAGAATGTTTTTCAATCGAAGAAATAGAGCATAAACTTTTTCCCGGAGAAATTGTAGAAGATGATGCTACAGCTTATGCATTATATTCAGAATATGCTCGTATGAAAGGATTTAGCGTGAGAAAGTGAAGAAATGTTTATAGCAGAAAGCAATCCGATTTATTAATTGGGAAATAGTACTATTGTTCTTGTGAAGATGTAAAGGACAATAAAGCATCAACAAAAAAAAGTAAGCAATTATGAAAAGACAAGTTCTCGGTGTGGATGTAATGCAAAATTAAAGATTTCTCGAACTGAGGGAAATGTATGGAGAATTGCAATCTTTAATCAAGAGCATAATCATGCTTTATATAATCCTAATGAGGTTCATTTGTTGCGTTTACAATGTGGATTGACAGAAAAATATAGAATTGTGTATAGTACTTTATTAAATGCCGGTATGCAACCCATGAAAGCTTACAAGTTAATGAAGGCAATAGCTGATGGAGAAAACAATATTGGATTTACTGAAAGAGATGCAATCGATGAATATACACTGGAAAAGAGGAAAAATAGAAAATTGATGGTGGTGATGCAATTTCAGTGGTTCAATATTTTAGGAAAAAATAAATTCAAGAGTCAGATTTTTATTGGAATATGGACGTAGATGATGATGACATTACTATGTTAAATTTGTTGTTTTTTTTTTAGAGATTTTCAGTGTTTGGGTGATTACTCTTGCTTTAGAGATGTCATTACTTTTGACACCACATACCGTACAAATAAATATGGATTGATGTGTGCCCCTTTTGTTTGTATTAATCATCATAATAAGAATATCATGTTTGGGTGATTACTCTTGCTTTAGAGATGTCATTACTTTTGACACCACATACCGTACAAATAAATATGGATTGATGTGTGCCCCTTTTGTTTGTATTAATCATCATAATAAGAATATCATATTTGATTTTGCATTTTTGGCAGATGAGACACAAAGATCATTTGAATGGCTATTTCAGGCATTTCTGAAGTCAATGGGAAATCAACAACCTAGGATGATATTCACTGATCAAAGTCAAACAATGATGAATGCAATATATTGTAAGTTTTCCGATGCTTTTCATAGATTATGCCAATGGCATATTGGACATAATGCTCCTTCACACTTTGGGAATCTAAACAATGATATGAAATTCAAATCCTTGTGGAAAAATGCATGAATTTCTGTAAATGTGAAGATGAGTTTGAAACAACATGGAAATTACTTGTGGATGATTATGGTGTTGGAAAGAAGGATTGATTTTCTATGATACATAAAATAAGGCAAAAATGGTCTGGGGCTTTTAGTCTTGATATATTTTTTGCGGGACTCATGGAAACATCTAGAAGCGAAGGCACTAACACAACATTGAAAATTGAGATTGGAAATAACACATTCATCTTACTACATTGTGTTCATAGCTATGAAACAGATTTAAAGCATTGGAGGGGAAAAAAAGAAGACAAATGATATTGAATCTCGTCATAAGAAGCCTCCACTTTTCAGTCCACACAATCCATTGCTGAAACAACCTGCTATGGTGTATACACATCAAAGTTTCAAAATATTTGATAGCGAGATGCAAGGACAATTGTCAATTGAATGCATTGAAGAACCTCGACATTCAAATTCTTCCTTGAGGATTTTGAAAGTAAAACCTCTTAGCGGTAACACAAATGGTCAAATTGTTCGGCTTGATAGCCAAATAGCTGAAGTTCAATACACATGTCATAAGTTTGAGACTACCGGTATGTTATGTAAACATGTTTTGAGTGTGTATGCTTATACTTGTCAAACAAGCATATCCGATAAATATATTTTTAAGCGTTGGACCAAGAATGCAAAAGCTCAAATATTTGTGAAACCACTTGGTGTCTCAAGTACAAATAATAGTAGCAGTCCACTTTTTGAATTGGCATTTTAAAATCTTACAACAAAGAAGGTATATGATGTTGCCATGCAAAGCAAAGCTCATGTTGAGGCCAGATCAATTATGATTGATGGTATGAAAGACATTGAAGAAAAGCTACAAGTTTGGTTTAGAGATGTGAATTTGAGTGATGCAAACTTTTCAGACAATATAGCCAATAGTCAAACTGAAATTCTTGTACGCGATCCGCCAATTTTAAGAGGGCGAGGATCAACTGTTAATATCCACAAACGATATTGGGATGACAAAAGTAAAATAAAGGAAAGGAAAAATTGGCACATCAAGTTAGTTTTATTACTCAAATATGTATTCAATATTTTGATTCATTATATTAATTTTTATGTTATTTTTATTATTGTAGGAATGGTGGTTAAAGGGGCAGAAACTAGTCAAAACTTGTCGTCTTGCAACACAAATTTGTCTCAAAGAAATTCTGATGTTGAAATGGTTGAACTTAATCCTGAAAATGATCCTTAGTTTTATTTTAGAAAATTTGGTTAATAATGTTAGGTATGTATTTTTTTGGCTTATCATAGTTTTCCTGTGTGTTACATTTTTATTGAACTTTTGTCGAGTTATCTTAAGCAGAAAAATTTTTTTATGTTTCTTTACATCTACAATTTGTTTTAATTTCTTTTTTTTTTTTCAAGTTGAGTTATTTTGTCTGAAGTACAAACTTTTTGTCAAATCACATCAAGTAAGCCAAATAATTTCTCTAGTTAAGATGGCACAAATGTCTAAAGTACTCATTCAAAAGTTTGCTGCTATGTAAGTGGTCTTTTGTTTGTTATTATTGTTAAATAGTTTTCGTTTTTTATGTTTTCAACCTTAGGTTGCAAGCTTTCTATTCCTGTAATGAGCTCTTTAGGAAATCTGACATTAATAGAATGGAATGCTTAATATTGCTACCTCAAAAGTGTTGATATTATTATA